AGAAGAGAGAGAAGAAAAGAGAGAGGAGGAGAAAGAGGAGAAAGGGATGACCCCGGACCTACGTCTCCTAAGTGGTTTCGCCCCTGGGGTGTCATTATCATTGCATGTACGTGTCACGTGTCTGCATTCGGGTTCGTGGCTCCTATCTGGTTTTGTTTTCGAGCGGCTGAGACATCGACTGAACGCGTGGAACTTTGCGACCAAAAAACTCTGCCTGACTAGACTCTGGTAAGCGAGTCCGTACCAATCGGACTTTTGGGAATCCCCGGCCCTAGACCTACAAAAAAACCCTATCAAAGTGGCCCTGCTAGCCTCCCTTAAGCTAACATGAGCTGGAAAGGCACCCGTGTTAAGGCATAGTAAAACTTCTGTCCCTTAAAAACAGGCACAGCTGCGCTCCGTAGCATTTTCCGGCGGCTCCTCGGTGCGAGCCGCACGCAGGTGGCGGACTGGGACCTGGACCTGATAGGTGAAAGTTGGTAAGGGTGCTTTTCAATGGAAGCTTGGAAGTCTTCTTGCAGCAGCGGCAGGAAGAGGGATCAGCATGATAACACAACAGTCACAACATGCCATCCAAACACAGAGCTTTGGCAAACACCCCCGTAGGAAGAGTAGAATGGGAAATAAGACCATTCTTAATATAATCACAATTCTCCCTCATAGTCACTAATTATTAACTAATGGGTGGGAGCCCACCTAACACGGACCTTTCTAGTCCAAGACTGAGCCACAGGAAAGCGCCGCCGGTTGAATCGGACCGTGCACAGCTGGGCAGCGACATCGATGCTGAGGAGAAGGCCTGGGACGGTTAGATTTGTAAACTATAGGGATTCTAGGGGGTATATTGGGATTATATGGGGATAATGGAAAAGAAAATGGAAACTACTATTTAGGGTTTAGGGTTTAAATTTCTCAAAATCAGTTGACCCAATCATTAGCCATCATCATCCTTCAATATTGGGACCCCCCCAAGAAGTACCCCTAATCTTAGGAAACCCCTCATTTCGAGGTTCAGCTAAGTCGTGGTAGATGGTATTTCAGCCTAGGAGCTAGGCACCATGACTGGCTGTACATGTGGTAGTTTCCCAAAATAGGGGGACCCCAATATAGACCCCAAAATACTATAATCCTTATTGTAAGGACCCCCAAAAAGGTACCCCTAATTTTGGGGAACCCCTATGTCTATCTTTGTTCTTCTTCCTTGAATCCTGTGCCACTTGTTTTAACCACAACGACAGTCTTATCTATTGTCCTCAGTCTTTCTCTCTTTCTCAGACAGGGTACCCTGATCTCCAGCCGAATACTCGCCGAAATCCACTCCCTCCAGGACAGACACCTGTTTCTGGCTTGGCTATAATGGGTTCTATTGGGATTATGGGTATGTATTGGGGTTAATATTGGGATAACGGAAAATGAAATGGAAACTACTATAATGGGTCGGCTATGGGAGTTTCTGCAGGTACGTCTCGCAGCGAGCTTGTTCGTGTTCCCATTTGTGGGGGACTCATGCGGATGTCTCCAAACATGGGGGGATGTCTTTGTGGGAGGTCCTTTTGACTTGACAGGAACCGTGAACCATCTCATGGTGCTTTGGGTCCTCTTTGTAGTGTCCCGATGAACTTAAGATCCGTTTCAAATTTCGCCAGATACATCCCTTTGCTGCCGCCTCGACTTCTGGATTACTGCATGTTCCTGAAGGCTTTAGGAGTAAGGCAAGGATGGTGGGCGGATGAAGGCCTATGTTTTGATATTGCATTCCAGCATACTCGTGCTGGCCACGCACTTTGAATTTCAAAGCCTGCATCTAATCAAATTTGGCGCATGTTCCACCATTTGAGGTGAGGTCGCTGTAATTCTCCTAGCTTCGCCTCACCGCGCCACTTTGCATCCTCAAGCGCATGCTCAAGGTTCCAGCCTTTGACGTGATGGCTCCAGGTTGGCTTTGGGCCAGTTGATCTAGAAGCGGGCCTTGACCTACCTTAGGAGCTCTCCAAACAGTGAAGCCGATGCTACTCTACTCTTCTTCCCGTGGATCACAAGACTAGCTCCCTGAGCCAAACAGTCGCTTCAGCGTTTTGCTGCAGCCCACAATCCCCACATCATCCTACATCCCATCTGATGCCTGCTTTCCAGGCTGCAAGCCGCGACAGTGGCTGGCAGCTGCCACGGCGTCGTCCCACTTCAGGACCATTCGGAGTTAGGACTTTACTGTGGTTAGATGGGTCACGTGGGCCCCAATTGAGTGCACAAGCGGTGTATGCGCTGCACTGCAGCCAGATTATGGTGCTTCACACGTGCTCTGATTCTACGCTCATGCCGCTTTCATTCTATGATGTTGGAGCTTCGAGACTTCCCTTTGAGAACAGCTGGAGTTTTTTGGGACAATGTCGCACAGTGAATATTGTCTCTTGGCCGGTCTTTGGCAGCCTCTGCACCTTCTGTCTGTGAGCTGCAGCGTATTTGGTGGCAGATTCAATATGCGCAGGTGCAGCCTCTAGGACGCAACAAAGAGGGACATGTGGTCTCCCTCTTCAAGGTCTATGCTTTTCGACTCATTTGCACAAGCTGGCCGGAAATTATAGCACCCTGCATACATTCCCCGCAAGATTGCAAGCCATGACTGATGCGATGGGCCCCAACTTGCCTCGTGGCCACGCATGCCCTGCTTCTCCTTGCCAGGAATGTGAGCACTACAACATACTACAACGCCACACACTCTTGACCGCGCATTTGATGATTCACAGGCTTTGAACTTGCAGGGTAATTCTCTGGTCTACCTTTATTAATGTCGCTTGTTGATGTCTGGACTGGAGATTTCTGCCAGCTTATGATTCTGATAACACCGCTCTGCTGCTGTAACTTCTGCATGAGAAGCAAGAGCCCCGATTTTCCCCACTCGAAGGCCAATCCTCCTCGCTGGAGGCTGCTACCGGTGAGATGACTCTGGCGCAACGACTCACGCCAGGTTCACGGAGTTGCCCGCCCCGCTTCCGCATGAGGTTATGGGACGCAGGACTGTTGAGCATAGAGGCTACCGGCAATGGCATTCAAGAACACTGGTGGTGCTTGGCCGCCCAGGCATCGTCAGCGCGCGTCTGCCGCCTCAGTCCTGGTGATGTACTTCCCGATGCCTTGGTTGTCAGCTGAGGCTGAAAGCCCGAATAGTGCAAGCTACCCCGCCAACCCCCGACAACCTCTCAGCGAGGACCAGGCACGAACCTGAAAGACCTCCTGCCCAACCTCAAGATCTACAAATCGAAAGCTCAAGGGTCTGTGCATACCCTAAAATACGTCTATCTACAATGGCAAGCCAAAAAGGAACCCATGAAGCCCTGTGAGATCCCTTGCCGAAGCCAAATTGCTTCAGGAGCCCGTTGTCACGTCCAGCCTCTGTGGGAGCGCGAGCGGGCTGGATCCACTACCTGGCTTATCTGACCGAAGCTTCGAAGCTGTTACCCCAAAGCTACCCGGTTTCAGTGGCAATTCAATCCCACCCTTAGATACTGCGCTACCGTATGTCTACTCTTGCGACGATATTCGCTACTGCTCCTGAGCTATGACCTACAACTGGTACTTTTTTTGCTCGGTCGCAAGACCGAGTTTATGATACATGCAGAGCTTGGACATTTTGCGAGGCGGACTGTTTCAAAATTGCAGGCCTCTTTTTGCAACCTCCTCCTCACGCTCCTTATGTATGACACTGCCTAGACGGATCATGATTGAGAATAAGGAGAGGAGACTGAGGTTTGTTGGATGGATTTGTCTCGAGCCCCGCAGCTGGGCTGAAGGTTGTGTGGGCGCCAGCTTCAAGGCTTCAAGGACTGCTGGACTTGCGCGCTACAGTTTGCAAAGGGGCCGCACTTGAGACGGATGGTGGCGGAAGCCCCAGGAATGGCTAAGTTGGCAGCAGATCCTACGGACTGCTTAGCTTATCATTCGGGAGCATCCAGGAACTCAGAGGGCTTACGGAAACCACATCATTTGTTTCACCGCGGATGAGCCCCAATCCAATATCTTGCCAAACCAGCCCTGCCTTCTTCCGTGCGGCTGATGTCCAATGTGGCTCGAAACCATCCTCGTCATCGAGGCCTTGGGAGGGAGCGTCCATGGCGGTGCGCATTCACTCTCGTGCTAGGCTCCTTCAGCCCCCATTCTTCCATGCCCTCAACCCCAAGCGCCAGGGTGCCGAAATGCGGCTCCCTTCCGCCCAAGGCTGGCAGAAGTCTTGCTTGAGGCATCAATTGCTCCTCCACCTGAAATCAGGGAGGCCATGCCAATCCTGTCCTCTTTGCTTGCACTACAGGCCTTGCATACGAGCAACTACTCATGGTCGTGCTTCTTTTTCCAATAATGCTTCTTACAGCTTGTATATCCTAACTGTAAATGTGTAGAAAGAAGTTCAACCCCAGAATGCTCTGGTATTGAGGGGCTCTCATTTCCATGAAATATTTCGTAACTGATGATAACAAGAAATCAGAAGAAATCAGAATGAAAGGAGGTTGGGGCCACGCAGGTGGTGGTGATCTTCAGGCCTTTAGGCCTTAGGCCCGCCCAGGCCTTCAAATTGCGAGGATTCTTCATGCAAGGTCACGAAAACCTGGCCCTCCCGTCACTACAAACTCCCATCTGGCAGCTTTTGTTGGACTTTGGTGGAGAGCTCAGCTCATTGTTAGAACGCAACTTGTGGCTTAGATGTAGCCGTCATCAAGAGGCCAATCCTGAAATCACAACATCTAGTCTCGTGGCGTTGTCCGGAAATCCCTTCCCACCTTGTCCTCCACACCCAAGAATCGCGGATTTGGGCTGCACAGCTCAGAAAGCCTGTCCTTCCAGCGGGTTTCGGGACAAATCAAATTTCTTGCTCGCTTGGGCTTCCCCGTATTGCTGAAAAAATCCTGTCTTTTCAGAAATCTCCACGTGCGAAGGATCCTGCCATCATGTTAACCTGGCAGAGGGGTCTTGGGGACCTCGATTGTGGTGCATACTTCGCATGACTCGGCTTGGGAGGTGTAACCCGTTAGATCTTCGGGTAATACCACGCATGCCAAAAATTTGAAAGACGAATTTGAAATCATCTGAACGGTAAGGTCTTGTTTTCTCGGACGTAGGTAACTTGAGGGTTAGGAGGAAACACGTGTTGGCCGTGCGATGGATCAACATATCTGTGAAACTTCACACAAACACTAAACTCACTAGACCACTTGCTGTGTCGTGACATGCACCTTTTGCTTCAGCAGTGCCCCTCTCCCTTGCTTCTGCTTCTCATTGTTATTCCACTTCTTGTCTTAGGAACTCTGGGAAGCTCTTAACTACAGGCTTTTAACTTGCGTACAATAAGAACCCCCACCAAAATCTTCAAAATTAGAGCCCTGATTTTGCTGCGTGTTTGTTGGCACTGTTCGGCAGCCCTTACCATGCATGACACGAATGGACAGTGTTCTTTAGTGGTCCTTTCTCACGTCCGCTGCTGGTAGACTACTTTCATAATGCACCACAGCCCCATTCAAATGATTCGGGATGTCATAGAAGTTGGAGTGCTCCAAGGCAGCTTTTCAAACAGCTACATTCCCAAAACCGCTCCCCCAGGGGCGTTCGCAAAAAGAAGGTGACCTTTCTTGAATGTCGAAACGGTTTGTCTTCTGGTGCTTTGTTCAGCATGACCTGGAGGCCCGGACGGGCTGCAGCTGACCCTTTTTCATGAAATTCAACCCGAGCCTCTCGATCGACTCTCGCCGGGAGCACCATGGATGGTGGGGCCTCGAAAAATCGGTTTCGGTGGAAATTGATTTTGGGAAGGGGATTGATTGGCACTGGCAGTTGGGAGTCTCGGTTGTAAAGCTAGATCGGGTGCTCTTCTGTTGGTGGGCCTCCAAGGGCTGCAGCTGTCAGTCAGAAGGCTTGCGCCGGCCCCGATGGAACTGTTCTGGAAGCACTGCCTTTGTGCCGCTGCTCTTCCCGAGCTCCACTCGCCACACAGCTCGGCTGGCTGCTAAAGCATGGCAACCACTTTGGGGCCCAAAAGGCATGTGCATATTGGAACGTCACTATGCGGTGGATCTCCCTCAAAACGCGATCCACACACACGCACATCAGCCATTCGGCAGGGCAAGGCAAACCCTACTTATTGGACTAAGCCGAACCCTGCACCCTCCGGCTGTGTAAAGCAAACCCTGTTAGTTAGGCTGAGCAAAGCCCACAGACCTTATCAGTTGGACCCAACAAAATCCCAAACCCTGCGGATGGGGAAGGCAAACCTGAGTAATTGGACTAAGCCTACTGCTAAACAAATGCAGCTGAGCATTCCTCCGCAAATACGGATACACAATAACCGCTCTCCACCCCCCATGTAGCCCCATATTGAGCTATATCTAAGCTTCTAATATCCCCCCTAATAACCACTAACCCGCTGTAATCCCCTACATAACCCTCTTCTCTTCAAGGAGTTTAGACTCGTTTAGACTGTAGCTCATCCCATCTACAGACCCAAATATAGATCCAAAAAAGTCCATAATCCTCATTATGAGGACCCTCAACAAGGTACCCCTAATTTTGGGAAACCCCAAGCCCTAGATACCCCTACATAATCCCGTTAAAGGTACCCCTATGTAGCCCCATATAACCCCCCTTTAAAGCCCAGTTCAAGGGACACTAAACCCTTCTCACGTATGTATATATATATATACATCTTTTAACTTCAATGGCATTTGTGTTTAAGGCAAATCTGACTTGTGTATAACGCGGATCTGCTTGTGTACAAGCCAACTGCTGAGCCCTAAGCCCTAAACCCCAAACTGCGACTTGAGCCTCCAGGGCCTCGAAGCTTGGCCGCGGCCCGGGACCCCCGGGCGAGGCGGGGCCACCTTGCGAGGGCCGCGAGGGCGAAGCACCTGCTCCAATGCTTTTTACTGGCACTATACAAGGAATTCTAGGAACCTTTGAGGGTCTGTATAGGATCTGATGGGGTCTGCAGTAGGTAGATCCGATGGTTTCTGCTGGGGTTCTTTGGGAGTAGGGCCGCAAATTTTGAGGGGGAGACTATTTGAGAGATTTATGATGGGATTAAAGAGGAATTAATACCGGATTTATGCAAGAGATCTGTAAGTAGGGGAGTAATGGAATTTGGCCCACATGGTGAGCCCTTTTGGTTTACGTGCGGCTTTCTAGTAAGGGCTAACAGCCAGACAGGTAAGGATGTTGTGCATTGCTATGAGCTGTACGCAAATTATTAGATGCAGAGACTTCTATGCGGATTCATGTCTTGCTTGGATCATTTTGCTGCTGGTATGGCCGACTGCATTGCAAGGTAACAATCAATCCAGCAAGTCGTAGAGACAAGAGTGGAGTAGGCGCGCAAAAGCCAGAGCTTCACAAACAATGAGAACCTCAAAAACTTGCATTTGAAGTTCGGGGCTCTCGCCATATGAAAAATGCAAGAATTGAGGTTGCCGTGCGAAATTTCTGAAATACTCCCAGTTGTGGAACCCCGGCAACTCACAGCTGCACAAAACAACGCATAATGGATCGCCCTTGTAGGAATTCAAGTTCTTCGGTCTGTTGTTGTTGCGACTGCTAACTGCCATGGCACGTCAAGCTCCTTTCTTTGCGACCAACTTGGTGAACCCTTGTATCCCTGCACTATCAGCCCTGCACGAACAGTCACCAATGCAGATCTGGCTCCTTGCACAAAAGAAAGTGTGTCTCTCCGCCGGTGTAGGTGAAGACCATTACTTAGCAGCCCGCGAACCCCGGCACCTGGCTTCCACGGCATTCCAGAGTTGTCTGCCAGGCGAACCGTCCATCGGAGGCGCGCGAAGGCATCCTCTGACTTGTTCTTTGCTTCTCGGGAAGTTGAAGGAAATTGTCAAAGGTTGAAACCTGCCCAGACTGTACATCCCAGAATAGGATGTGTGGTCCAGGGCTCTCCAAAGGGGAACCACAACTGTCACAGCTACCCGCCGGCATGTGCCAACTAAGGGCCCCCAAGTACATCTAGATGTGGCCTTGCAAGCGGAGGCCTCAAACAGAGACCAACATTTGGCGAACTCCTACATCTACATAACTTTCCCGCGGCCTCTAGCTGCGTCTCGGGGTACGAAGGAAACGAAACGATAAGTTCTCATACGTAGAGTCTCCTATAAACTTATCACATCGAGCTAACACCACATTTGCAGAGAGTCCGTGAAAACTTGCTGTAGCTATGTATTCTCAAGGAGGCCGCCGTCATCATGAAGACACCCAAAAAGTCAAAAATCAAGAAGGGCACCAACAAATGCGCTATCGGCCGGGTCGGTCGAACCATGTCGGACCCTTTGGTAATCCAATTCGGCCCCCTTGGACTTTTTGGGAGGGAATATCAGGAGCAGCTTGAGAACCTCAGGGTGAAGCGGTTGTCCCGAGCAACATTTTTTCTTTCAGCTGTCGTGAAACTGTAATGCTGAACCATACAAAGCCTTCACGCCTGCCAGTCCAATGCGTAGCAGGTGTGAAGTGTAGCCGTGGGGTTGAACCCTTTCCCTTCGGTGGATGTGCACATCTGGCTCTAGACCGCTGCCTGGGAACATGCTAATCCTGCACCTTAACACCGAAACTTCTCCTCAGCTGTGGCCAGCGCATCGCCGACCCCTGTTCCCAGTGCGATGGCGTCGCCATCCTCGAGAGCCTTCGGTTCAGAAGCGAGAAAAAAGAGCTGAGCTGCAGCGCGTCAGGTTCATGCTCTAGCAGTTCCAGGACACCCCTCTGTCCGAGCAGTTGGCTGCACTGGTCTCGCCCTGTCTGCTGATGTTGCGTGCATGAACGACGGGGGGCAACATTGGTTCTCAAATGGAAGCAGCTGCAAGTAATTTGGCAGAGCCGCCACTGATTCCTCGCGTCCAAACTCCAGGGGCGGAGCGCCCTGACGAAAGCGCCACATTGGGTTCGGCGTCTGCGAAGTCAAGCGCACCTGCAAGGTAATTTCGGTCGGATCTGCCCAGGAGCAAACCCGTACTACAAACATTTAACATTAAGCACGCTTGTTGCTAGGCATTGTTGTAGCACCTTAGCTATCGCCTAACTGTCCGCAAAGCTCCTCAGAAGCCCTGAAATCAACATATTTTACAGTCCTGCAAAGCCTCCAACCCCCAATCGCAGTAGAAGACCCCAAACGCTGAACCTGAAACCCTGCACCCCCAGACCCCACCCAGCTAAACCCTAAGTATGCTGAGCCCTGTCCTAATTAGTCGAAATTGCTTTAGCTCATGGAAGGCCTACCCGCAAGTCTGAGAGCCTCCCGGTCCCGGAACTCCACGGCGAAGTGCTCCCGGCTTATGAACTGCAAGCACTCCTAGTCAGCACAAAGTCAAAGGTACTGTATAGGCCGTACATCCCGCTTGGTTCATTACGTAGCCTATCCGCTTCCCAATTCGTGCCGTCGACCGCGGCATATGTTCTCACACCGCCGTGAAGCGGTCTACTAAGAGTCTACTAACTCTCACAAGTCTGCTATGATCCACTTACCTCTCCTTATCGTCCAGTCTTTCGTTCTCAGGCCGAAGTGTACCGGCATGCAGCCAATAGCTTAGAGGTTCAATTGCTGTGTGCGTTATCGTCCAGCCAACATTGTAAAGCGTGTCTTCTTCGGTTAGGCTTTCAATCTGGGCTTTTGCAGTCGCAAGATGCAGTCACGAGGAAAACTTGCTAGAGCATCATTTTGCAACATGTCGTGGCAAAAAGGAACTGAATAGTGGAAGCAGTGGAAGGTGTCCATCAACTGTTTTTTCTGAGGCGAACATCTCCGCGCAGCATTCACCAGTAATCAGAAGCCGTGATCCATGTTGACGATCACGGCCATCTAATCCAACTACAGCAGCCAAAGACTTTCTGGAGGCATAAAGGCTCTGCAGCGAGGGCTTGCTGTCAATCACAGGACTGCACCCGCGTGTCTATGCCAATGGTAGCAGTAAGCATGGGGTGGTTTAGTTTGCTTCTTCCTGGCTGGCTTAGCGATGTTCACCTTGCCGAAGTTTGAGCTACGATGTGCAGCGTGTCAAATTACAACGCAGATTTCACAGACCGTGCATTCATGGCATCTATATATTGAGTGGCTTAGAATACTTACCCATCGACAGTCCACAATGGCTCACTAGCTTGAAGAAAGTAGCCTGCATTCACTGCACAAACTGTGATCGCCCGGTCTGTAACATACCTCGCCAGGTAGCTTGGACCTTGTACTGCATTGTTTTCCTTTCCCGCCCCGCAATTCTACGAATGGAACAGTGTGGATACTCGCTCACTTCTGTTGAATATTTTGCAAGAGACAGGAGCTGCTGACATTACAAACTTTACAAGCAGCCTCGTGTTTGTTCCACGTTCTGCCGTCTGCGTTGTGGGTATGTGTGTGGTGTTTCCCTCCTTCCCTCCTTTCTTGGCCGTGCTTTAAACGCGCACAACAGTTGGCGGATGCTTGATTGTCAAACTAGCACCCAACGGCAAACTGAAAATCATCCATGTCGGAGAGGCCCAACCGCGAAGTCTTGCTGCCGACAAGAGACACGCGAAATTACAGCACGCAGTTGGTCAGCCTCTCAAGGGCGCGGCAAAAATTTAGATTCCATGAGCGTACAGAGGCGCATCACATGCGTAGAGGTTCCTATTTGAGGCAAGAGCTTGGAGCTCCAAGAGACTTTGTAGCACAGTACAATGTCAGTCGGAGGGCACAATGAGCATAGTTGAGCAAATTAGTTGCCATTCAGCAGGGGTTTGCCAGCACAAGGGTTTCCACTGACGTCATGAGCCACAATCAGACTGTAGTTTGAGGGCGGTCCCCGCAGTAAGGTTTCAAATGCTTTGGAGGGCGTAACTCTGAACAAAAAACCGCCTTTCTCTCCCGCAAGAAAGATAGGACTCTTATCACACAGGCTGCTCTTTTCCCCGATATGCTGGGGGCCCTGCATAACCGCATAAAATGTGGAGCCCTGATGTAAGGACCCTTGCTGGGCCAGCTTCGGAATTTAGAGCCCTCCCCATGTTACAAGATGGCACGAGTATAGTCCCCCTCAAGTAGATAGAATATGGGGTATATGGGGGTCCTACTATAATATACCCAAAACCATATTCTATCTACTTAAGGGGGACTATAAACCCCAAACGAGTGGCGTCTCCGTCTGTAGAAGCCGTGAGGCAGCCACACAGCAGTCCTGTTAAAAGATTCATTTATG